CAGTCCGCGGTAATGAAAACGTGGAGTGATTCCGGAGACGTTTGAATTCTGGAGCGCCGCCTCCGCCACACTGTAATGAGTGAGCGAGTGGCGAAATTTCATCGTTTTTATATACGTTTTGCAAGATTGATTGATTGATTGATATGTGGGGCTCAACGTGCCAAAACCACCTTATGAATATGACATGCCGTAGTGGAGGGCTCCGGAAATTCGGGATACCTGGCGTTCTTCAACTTGCAAATAAGTCTGAGCACACGGCCCTACAGCATTTTCGCCTCCATCGAAAATGCAGCCGCCGAAGCCAGGATTCGATCGCGTGACCTGCGGATCAGCAGCCGAGTGCCTTAGCCACTAGACCACTGGGGCGGGGCATGTGGTGATCGATAAACAACCACGACCATTTGCGAGTATTTCCTAATGCACAAAATCTAGTAGTATGCCGGGGTAACAGTGTAGTCACGAACTAACTTAAATACAGAAAAACTAGTTTTCCAGGCCACTCCATCATCTCTAGTTACTTTACGATTCAAAAAGTGGTTTAACCCGGGTAACACAAAATGCTCGGTGTCATCATCAAATGATATTTCGGGAAACAACTGCATCGAATTCCGTGTTACAAGAATATAGAAAAGTCATCATTTCATCACTTCTTGATCGAATTGAGCTAGCTTTAACGGGTAATAATTAATCAATTCATTGGTTGTTATTTATTCTGCAATTAGCGCAAATAGCACTGGGAGAATTGCACTGTCAGACATCGTTCAGACGCAGCAGTAATGCCTGGAACGGCACAGAATGTTACGTGGGAATCTTATCACAATAAATATGTGCTAAACTAGCAGGATAGGTGCTGTGTCAGTTTAACGAGTGCAAACTGGATCCGTCTTTAGACCATGCGTATTTCCACGCACATTCGCGCTTGCACGCAGTCGCTTTTCCCAAGAGTTTTTTTTTTTAAATATTGGCAGAAGTTCTCATTATTGTATATCGTCGGGTCTTCGGGAACTTTTTCTGATGATGTCTGGCCAAGACGATTGTAAGTCATTGTTTCCTTCGTGCTTTATCCGGCACTTGGCCGCGCTTGCTCCACCTTTGAAGTTGTACGATAAATTTTGCGTGCTTTTTCTCACAGGTGTTTACTCGGTGCATGTCTTTATATCAGCTATTGTTAGGTGAGGTTGCTGGCGAAGCAATCACCTAATCAGACATTTGGAATGATTTCTTTGAGACATTGTAACACACCCTTTGTGTCCAAATTTTTGTTTCTGAATCACTGCTCGGCTTTGACTAGGTTTGCATGGCATCCATCAAGATTCTTCCCAAGCACTTTTACTCTCTGATAACGTCCTTCATTTGTTTTACTAGAGCAGTGTATTCAGCAACAATGGTTGCAATCAGACGATTCACTTTTAGATAACAATAACTAGGAAGTTCATTGTATTCTTCATTTCCTGCAGCTCCCCATGAATTTTACAATCGTCTGTGCGCCTTCTTCTTTTGATCGTTTCATTAAACGTTTTAAGTTCTGTTTTAGGCTCGTCTTGAAATTCTGAAGATGTGGTAAATATTCTTTCGACAGAGTGGAAATACAGTAGCCCTAATCGGTACGATAGAACACGGTAGACTTATACAGTACACTGGTACTGTAGTAGTGACACAGATGACAGCGGGATAACACTAAGAAAACAACCATACAAGAGAAAATAGTAAGCTTCCAACTTGTAGGGGCTGGTTCACGCTGCCTGCAAATCTTCCCTCACGGCGAAGTGCCGTAGACTGGTGGCTGGCGCTGCCCGCAGGAGAGCTGTTCCAATTGCACGGCTAGCTTGTCCGAAAAACATGGCTGCCCTTCCGAATGCGGTTGTCGACTGCCTCAAATCTACGAAGCGGCCGCCATGCGCTCTGTAGCTTGTAAGCTCCGAACTGAAGCTTCCATTTGCTTTAGAGTCATGTCCCTTAGCTTTTACAACACAGTAATCGAATCGATTCGGCACTGTTTTTGAGAACCATACTTAAATAATTGGTATTTAGGCCTAAGCAAGCTTTCCTGAATCTCGGAGAGCATACACTACACGTCTGTTTGTTTCTGTTGACGCAATATTGCTGACGCTACTTGTCCAAACGCCCGCATTGGGGACGTCATTTTGAATTGGTGCGTGCTTTTTTCAATACCGGACAGGCGAAAATGCTCTATTCACTGCTAGATCTCAGTCTGGGAACAACACGTACGACATATCGTGAAAACCGCGGAGCAAGAAGCAAGCAGCTCGAAGTGTCCTGCGTCAGACGCAGAAAACACGGAGGCGAAAGCAGACGACGCGGCTCAGCCATGTCGCTCCTTCTTCGCTGATTGGCTAAACCACTCTCAGTCAAACGGCACAAAAATGACTCTCGGACCCATATATGAACGTTGAAGAACGGCAGACGTGCGCGAAGCAAACAGCCGATGACGGCTGCCTGAGAACGTCAAACGGCGAAGTATGCTTGCCGCTAGCGTGAATTGGGCGGCAAGCGTCTGTAACGGCGCAGTGCCTTAGACTGGTGGCCGGCGTCGCTCGCAGGAAAGCTGTTCGAATCCCACAGCAAGTTCCTTCGACAAACAGGGCTGCCCTGCTAAATGCAGTTGTTGACCGCCTCGAACCTACTAAGCGGCCGCCATCCTCTCTGACGCTCGTAAGCTCCGAACTGATGCTTTTCTTTGCTTTAGACTCAAGTCGTTTACTTTCAACAACACAGCACTCAAATTGATTCAGCACCGTTTTTCAGAACCATACCAAAATATTTGATGATTCAGGCCTGAGCAAGCCTTTCCGAATTTCTGAGGGCATAGAGTACACTTAGTTTGTTTATTTTTGTTAACGCAGAATAGCTGGCGCCACCTCACTAAACGCCTGCTTCGGGGACGTCATTTTTAATTGCGGTGCGATTTTTTTTAATACCAGACAGGCGAAAATGCTCTATTCACAGCGGGCACGTAGTCTGGAAACTACACGTACGGCATATCGTGAAAATCGCGGAGCAAGAAGCAAGCACCTCGAAGTGTCCCGCGGCAGACGCAGACAATGCGGTAAGGCGAAAGCAGACGACTCGGCTTACCCACGTACGCTAGAATAATGTCAAATTTCGAACGGTGAGGCATGCTCGCCGCTAGCGTGAATCAGCCGTAACTAGGAGAAGATGCAATCGGGTACTGACGGGGATGCAGAAGCTAATACCTATTCCCTCCTGAGCGAAGTGCACCCTGTTATAAACACAGTCGCAGACCCGTGTTCAGTAGTAGCGTCAGCACAGGGGCGTTGTTTTCTGCAGCACGCAGATATCGCACAGTGAAAGTCAATGTGCACAGGACTCGGTAGCTCGAACGTCCCACGATGATGGTCCTGCGCAACAACAGGCGACATGAAAAGTGAGGGAAGACCAGCGTCCCAGCCCGGGGAGCCGGAATATCAGCACCGGTGTTTTCAACGGACCTGTAAGAGCCAGCTCACGCTAGCGGCAAGTCTGCCCTGACGGCGCGCTGCCGCAGACCGGCAGCCGGCCGGCGCCATCCACAGGAAAGCTGTTTGAAGTGCACAGCAAGCTTTGCCGTCAAGGCATTTCATCCTCTGACAAACATGGCCACTCTTCCGAAGGCACTTATCGAACACCTCGAATCTGTCAACCTGCCGCTGTGCGCTCTTTAGCATTTAAGCTTTGAATAGATGCTTCCGTTCACTTTGGGCTTCTGTCCATAAGCTTCGCTAACACAGTACTCGAATTGACTCGGCACCGTTTTTGAGAGCTCAATAATAATCGATGTTGTAGGCTTACAAACTTTCCCGAACCTAGGAGGGCATATATCACACGTTTGTTAGTTCTTTTTAACCCTGGACTGCTGGCAACGCTTCTCATGTTGCCAGTTTCGGGACTTCTTTAGTTTCACCCTGCACTTTTTGCGAATACCGCAGATGCTAAAACAACCTAATAAGTGCTGGAATCAAACGTGAGAACAACACGTACGACATCCACATTTCAAGCATGAAGGGCACTCGCCTGCTGGATTCCTAGCTGACCGATTGTGTCACCCGGAATCTCCGACTCCATGGAACCTATCGCAATACACGATCTCTTGGCGCCGTATAGCTCTCGCCCTGTGATGCCCCGTCCCCGGACTCCTTAAACTATGCATGTCCACCGTGTCTCCCATCTGTTCACTATTTATATCACTCCTATTCAGCGAGTGCTCTCTCTTCTTTATCTTATCCCCCCAATTAGGCGCCTTTTCTTCCTTCTGCAAGAACTACGCACTCAATCATTACAGCGTAAAAACCGCGGAGCCCGAAGCAAGCATTTCGAAGTGTCTCGCGGTAGACGCAGACGATGCGGAGAGCTGAAAGCAGAAGACGCGGCTTACCGATGTTGCTCCTTTGTCGCTGATTGGCAACGTCGCTTTCCGGCAAACGGCAAATGGCGCAAAACTGGGTCTCGGACCCATTCTTTGAACGGCAATGACTGGCAAACGTGCAGTGAAGGAAACAGCCGCGCATGGCTACCTGAGACCATCAAACCGCGAGCCATGCTTCCCGCTAGAGTGGAGTGGCCCTAACACGGAAAATATGCTTTCACGTACTAGCTGTAACGTCGCCATCACCGCCAATAGCCTAAGTGAATTTTTAAATATTATGTCTTTGTGTTCAACTTATTTTACTTTGAGGTATATTGCAAGCTCCTGTTTTGGAATTTCAGGAAGTGTTTATTCAAATCATATTACATCTACGTTATCCACTATGTTTAGCCTTATGCTAGATCCGGACTAATGAATAATAGCTACCCTAAAACGCGCGTATACGTCACACTCTTACTGTGATCGCAATTAGTCAACAAGCGTGGCATGAAGATAATTTTATAAACATACACGCCTTGGTTTGGCTGGGGCCAGTTTTTGGGCATGTCCCCAATCAAGTATTGTCCTCGTGAAATCATGATTTCGATTTTGAAGCTTTGTGGTTCTTTCTTGGCAGTTCATTCGAAAGAAGCAAACCATATATCTTTTGATGGGTATAAGTGGCCACTTACCTAACATCTTGAGCAAAATCGACATTTGTTTGAGGTCGGCTTATATTACGGACTTCGACTCTGGAGCTTTACGCACTTTGAGTGGTTACAAAGATGTGCAGCTGATGTAAGTACATCTTTAATTTTTCATAGCAGATGAGATTACCTTTCTCACGATAAGGGTTTGATATATACAAGTATATTTCTTGAAACGTATCTTGTTTTGCAGTTTTGTTTCATTGTCTATTTGTGCCTTGTGTGCCGGGTGTCATGTTTACGTCAAGTATACCACCAAGCACTTCTTCAAGAACGGTAAAGGAACTGATCCTGAGATAAAACCCGGGAGCAACGGTTTACTCGGCCAGTCGCTACATCAATTGAGCTAACCAAGAAGTTTTTAACTAAATGAGCGAGGCGCGCTTGATTGACAACTTGAGTGCATTTATTGGCAACTGAGAGTGTGTCTTGCCAAGACACCCATGTAAATTTCTTTACACCTTCGTGCTGCGAATGGGTGGAGGTTTCGTTCCTCATTTGAGTCTTTTCTTTGAAGTATTTCGCGAAACTGACCAGCAATACTATGTATATTAGTCGTTCGAGAATTTGATGTATTCGCCTTCGCGCTGCCAATCATAAGCTTGCTTGTCAGCCTAATTGGTAGAACGCAGCACTCAGTCTCAATAGAGCTAGTGAACTGCAGTCACGAAATTCAGCTCCGCAAGTGAAAATAACTCAAATTTTACACCCAAAAACCACCATAAAATAAGCGAATGGACGTAGTTAAGGGCTCTGGAATTTTACCATCTGGTGTTCTTTCGCGTGCACTGACATCGCACAGTACACGGGCACCTACCATGTTGCCTTCATCAAAATGCGACCACGAAGGCCAGCATCGAACATTAGTCGCGTATGTACCGGGGCAATAAACAAATCTGAAGGTGCAACGCTGGTAAGTTTCAACAAAATGCCAACACAAGTTGCAGTCTCGAAGAGCAGATTTTCCGACATCTCAGGTGAGCATCACCATTGAATGAGTTGAGCGTGCGGATTCGAGACACATATAAAGATCACCTGATTCACTAAAATCTGGAAGCCGATTAAGCAATATAAAAATTTTTTGATAGGTAATGCTTTAGTAACAACCGCTAAAGTAGAAGACACCTACCAGGGCATTCAGACAGAGCAAAAAGACAATATTGTAACGAAAAATTCAGGTAGCCCAGAGGAAGTATTTATTCTCTAGTAAGTAGGAAAACAAAAGGCGAAAGTCAAGAACCACTCTCATGCTTGCTCGAGCGGCTCCTCACTTCTTTCTGTTTTCTGGTCACATTTCTCCATTGCCTGATTTCGTGCGCTGCAGGCACGTGTAGTCATGGCCAATTCCTGTACGTACAGCATTCCATTGTCCGCCAGGAGGGCGCGCGTATTTCGAACAGTTTCAAGATACTCGCCTATATCACCCCCGCTTAATGCAATATACATCCCCAGGGAGATGAGGAAAGAAAAAAGGCCAAGGGGGTGATGCTCGTTCGTTGGGCGACAGGACTTTATGGCGGAAGGTGCTTCATAGACGCGTCCCAACTGGGAACAGTAATACTTCTGCAGCAGTATGGAACTACCACAGGTGTATGACCATTAACGTCGTTTCATTACAGTGCTCATCGTTGTGCGTGGCCGGGCAAGTGGCCATTGCTTTGACGCTTCTGGATGACAAACAAGGACATATATTCAGTGACTTCAAAGCAGCCATCCACGCCTCCAACCTTAGCGCCTTGTGTAAAAAAGTTTATCACATTCTGGAGGGCGAAATCATCACCACCCACACTGTCACGTGGTTTCACGCTAACATGACATTCATCAGGGGAGGCCCCACAAACCTGAACGAGCTCGCACAGTCCAAGGTGTGAGATCTCATTTTCCGCTACCATGAACAACTCCCACACCGAACGGCACGCAGTTCTGGCGAAGAAAGACCATCCGACGATTTATGGCGAAATTCCACAACACGTTTATCTGGGCCGGAGATATTACCCCAATGTAATGAGAAGTCAAATAAAGCGTAGGCTTTGTCTGGCCCACTACCACACACGGGTTTACATCCCAGCCTGGCTTTATTGCATAAAGTCGATCCCGACATTTATCCTTTTAGCTTCTGCAGGCACGGCAACGAATTTGGTAGCCTAGACCCCATGCTTTTGCGTTTCCTCTTGTTATAGGGCACAGATCAATCCAAAAAAGAACAGCCGCAATCTTTGAAGGGCCCTCTGGTCGGGGATAAAGTGTGGGCTGTCCAGAGGGCCTACGATGTAACGGTCGGGCATGGCCTGATTGTACCAATGAGGAAGCGGTCCAGTGCCCGTCAAGTCGTGCGCCTCAGAACTCACAATAAAGTTTCGAATCCATAGGCTACTCACGGCGACCAGATATCAGGGCTCGCAAAAAAAACGTGGCTGATCTCCGTATACAGGAATTGGTATTACAGGAAAGCGAAACCTGTCTTCACAAAGGTAAATGAGCGTTTATTGCGCATTGTTTCAGTCTCAGCAAGAAATTACAAAGTCTTGTTTAGAATAGCAAGCAGCACGAAATTTTCAGCGGACACCTCAAGCAGAAAGCATGCAGGAAATCAGAGTACACACTGCGAGCGCGAACTAAAATTGTCACAGCTAGACACTTAGAGCGCGCTTTTGAAACAGAAAGAAATACGCACTTAAAGTGGCGCGCAACATGAACAAGACTAATGTGGACACGTGTCACAATTTTTCATGCGTCGTCTGTGAGCTGCGCGCCCGTTTAGTAAGCGTGGCTGTGGCAGCGTGCGAAGTGACATCAGTGCTCTCCCGAATTACGAGTCTGATAAGCGCGCGCGCTGGAGAGACCACGCTCCGTGGTGGTGGTGCTTCGTGGAGACGACGACCTGTAGAGCGCACCCGATGCAAGCCTGTCGAACCATCTCGCCACTGATACTGTAAACGTGCTGCAGTTTTCAACCTTTTAGAAAAGCTTAACGATTTATGACGCCTATACATGGCTTGTTTTTGGCATACCAGACGAAGCGTGCAATGTGGCGAAAGCATTCTATCGCCGACACTGGCACGCGTCAGACGCAAGATTCATGGGCTCCCAAGGAGCAGCGAAGGTGGTTCTTGGTGGCCGCGGGGATGGGTTTACTGACAAAAGTGGCAAAGGTTGTGAGATCATTTTGCCGAAACTGCCCACAGGGCGTGTGATTTTCAACAGTGTTTTTCCACCGAGGTATTCGCGTGAGGACTTTCAAGATGGAAGATTTCCTTGACACTCTGAAAAAAGAATGAAGGCTTCATGGCGTGTTGGTTTCGACGCCTGCCAGATGAACCACGTGAGGGTGGTCACGCTAAACAGCCCGGAGATGACGAAGAGATTGCTTCAACTACTGGCCTCCAGGTTAAGAAAAGACGCTGTCTTGTCATCAATCTCAAGGACCAGGTGACGCTAAGACTTCACTGGCGGTTGTATGGTGTGGCTGTAGAGAATGTGCGTATATAGCTGGTAGTTTTTGGTCACAAGACGAAAGTGACCTGAGAGCGTTGCGCGTAAAGGAAGTTAGCGAGACGAGTACGACAGCACGCACTGTGCTTATTAAGCTCTACCCTAGTGTGAGAGTGGATGGTCCACCACACCAGATTCAGGTTTCTGGTTGATTTGCCTTAGAGGCGGTCTCCGGCTGGTCTATACAGTGCCTGTTCTGCAACTAAACGGGGCATGTGCACGAAAGATGCGATGTGAGCTTGTTGGTAACTCATATCCAGTAACTTTCCTTGTAGCACACGTAAACAACAGAAAGAAATGAAGACACATGTAAACACATGTTGGTGTGACTTGCAGTCACACTAGCATATGCGCCGTGAGTGCAAGGTGCCGCGGTGTACGCATTACCGGAGTTTCGGACACGTTGATGGATAGTGCGTTCATTCCTATGCCTTAGTGAGAGGTTCAGCGGACACAACGAATGTGACAAAGTATACCACAGTCTTAACCGAGGCAGAAGACGCAGCCCAAGGCAGTGTAGATAGAAGTGTAGCCACAATAGACTGTCATGCATCAACATCTACAGTGTACACCCCATCATAACCTATTTAAAGATCACTGGATAATGCAGTAGCACCGGCCAAGGCCTCGGAGGAAGTGAGAAAAGATTCGAGCAGGCAGGTTACCAGAGCGTGTGCACTGGCGTCTAAACAGGACCGGCCTGCCAAGACGTCTTGTGGTGTGCGAGCACGGACTTTCAATCGGAGGAAGGGTCAAGGAACGTCATCGGCATCTCGAAGAGCAACGATGTTGGTATGGAATTTAAAAGATCCTTCGAGGAAGCCTATAGTCAAGGATAGAAAGACGGCGAAAAGAGCGAGGAGAAACTGCCAGCGAAGACGCCGACTGGTAGATGCACCAGCCTCAAAGCAAGACATGGTAGTGCTATGGAGGTGAAAGCTTTGGACAATCCATTCTCACTTGGCAGCGATACTGGTCCACCAGGTATTTGCGGAGGCATCTTGCGTAGCGTTACACGCGTAGGTAAGCGCCACGTTCTAGGGTGACCTCACCCGCAACGCTAAAATGAATCCAGTCGTATTTCTCAGATTTACAACACTGACTTTTACAGGCCTTGCTTCCAGGAAGAAACAAGGCCTGTAAAAAAAGAATGAGCATTGGTGCATTGGTTGTTGTTGGAGGAAATTTCGGATATGGTGGAGGGTGAGGGTGGCACAAAGGGCATGGTGCAAAGGTTCACTTCGCGGAAGTTTTTTTTAAGCCCGGCAGTAGGTAGATCAGAGGTATGCCTTATTTTTGTTAGAAATTCGCCTGCTTTGGTAGGACAAATAGTATAGGCATGTCCGTCAGGCAGATTGGTAATGTGTGACATTTCGTGATTTGATCGCGGCCTTGACTCTCGGAGACCAGAACAACATGTTGGCTCGCATCAAGCAGTTCGTGCGTGAGGAGGTTGCTCGGCAGCTCTCCAGTTTTGTGAGCGTGCCCGAGCTAGCAGAAACGCATCTTTTGGCCCCAGATCATCTCGCCCTGGCCGTAAGGCACGTCATACAAGATGAGGTAGCGGACGCTTTGCCTTTCGCTCGTTCACCACCTCTG